TGACTTGCTGGTTAATATGATTAAAATTTTACTATGTGTATTATCCATCTTTTGAACGTAATTCTCCCATATGTCAGATATTTGTGAGTATAAATACTAGTGATTTTCTCTAAGTAATTAGTATTAGTGCAATTAATCAGTATATTGGTACTGAGACAACATGCCGGTAAGTAATAATACAGCTTCTGACACGTCATTGACGATTAGTGTTTTATCATCAAATAAGCTAGTTCATGCAAGTTCATCGCTTGTCACAATACGATTAATACGTAAAAAGGATTCTCCGCAGTTCTGCTTGCGTTCATTCCAAATTTGTACCGTCTTTTGCCCAACTTCTAACGACAAGTTTAAGAAACTTTGGTCGTCTATCGATTCGAGCCTCTCGATCATAGTATCAAAACCATTCACTTGATTGTCAAAAAAGTTCACAAGTGTACCGATATTTTCGATAATTGCAGGGATACGTATTCGGTAAAGTGTCTCGAGAAATAATGTAAAGTCTTCATATTTTTTGTCATTGCTGGTTCTTCGAGATACACCAGGTATAAAAGAAAGGAAAGTGACTAGACATCTTGGTAATAGTCTTTTGAATCCATTGGGCATTCTACTTAAAATCCGAGGTCGCCAGCCCCAAAACAACATTACAAGCGCCAGAGGCATTCCAAAGTAAGGATAATATCGAGGCGTTAAATGTAGCGCGGAAGTAATCCTACAAAACGTGCTGTTGGCAATAGCAGATAAATTTCCATTATTGTTTGTTTCATTAAGTGCGGTGCTATTGTCTGTACAGTTTTTCGTTTCGTTGCATATCATTGTAAATTCCCCATCTTCACCCGTCGTATTCAATTCTGTCTGTGCAAGTCTGCTCGACATTGTTATCGATCCACTCTCTTCCGCGTATTCGTTAGTCGAGCTCATGTTTGGATTTGTAGGCTCGCTCGATACCGTCCTCGAATGACATGGCTCTGCTTGTCCAGTAAAAATCATGCTGATACTATAACAAGCGATGCCGCTGAAGGCTGTAGTAATTGCCACGTAAGAAATTAGATCCAATGCACGATCGCGACGTGCTTTAAAATCCTCTTCATTTTTCTCGTGATGTAACTCTGTCAAATAATCTCTTATTTCATCAACTACAGACTGGTAGCGCGTCTTTAATTCTTTTAACGCTTGTGCATGCCGTACGGCGTCTGCTCGTAAGTTTGGCAAAATTTCTCTGATATCCGTGATTTGAATTTGTTTATTAGATGCACCGTCACAGTATATTGCAACATCGTCACAGTACGGCTTTATTCGTAGTACTTGCTCTGCATTTTTTTCGACGACTACTATGAACTGCTTCCGAAGCTCAACGACTTTCGGGTAAACTCGTCTCAACCTGTTAGCTTCCTTGAAGCTTTCAAGAGATTTCCTGATGAGATCTTCGAGCGTATTGAGGTCTGGAAAGATTTGGTTCAGCAGTTCTGTTATATTTATTGTTGGCATGCTAACCACGCTAGCCATTTCGCCTATTACTATTACTATCGGAGTTTCCTGAAAAAATTTCTCTTTATATTTCGTGCACAAGATTGATTTACAAAATCACCGAAAGGAATTCCGGGGTACAAATTATTCCGGGAGGGACGGTATTTATATATATGCATACCATTGAAATGTAAAACCTGACAATTGACTCTGGCGAAACGCAGTCGAATTACAACAATATCCGACGGCCCATTTACGACAATGTCAGATTATTCAAACTCCACAGACTTGGTGAAGATTGGTATCAAAAAGGTGTCTCAGCAATTCGATGAATGCTCGACAGCAGCAAAAGATAATCCAATATTAGCAGAAATTGCCGTAGTGCTTGACGTCCAAAAACAAGTATTTGAGCACGCCGTACTTGAATATTTGTTAGACAGCAAGAATATGATGGAGAAAAGCGCCGAGTTGTCGAATGAGGTTGAGAGTCTTGGACCGAATTGTACGGATATCGAACAGTTTATGAATGCAGTCAGAGCACTTGTAGCTTTTGCGAAAGAATATGAGACCTATGCGAAACATTTAGCACAATGTTTCAGAGATATCTACGTGGCGTTGACAAATTGTTCAAAGGACGCAAAAGATTACTTGGAGAAAGAACTTCAAGAGAAGATGGAGGAGTTGGACAAGTTATTGAAAGACGTTGACAGTGCAAATGAAACAAAGACGGCTGGAAAGGTCGGCGCAGGACTTGGCGTGACAAGTGTAGCCGGAGCAATTGCCATTGGTCTTCTTGCTCCTCAGGCCGTAATCGGAGCTGCTGCCGTCGCAGCTTTGGGCAGCGCGATAGGAGTTGGCGGTGTCGCTACTGTAAAAAGCAAGGGAAATCTTGTTGCATCGCTCACGGAAGACATAGAAGGCTTGATGGTTAAAGCAGATGACAACAAATTAATGAGAGCGTTGTGTACGAATTTAAACGATTCCGCAACAGAGATTAGGCAGATAGAAATCCATTGGCAAGCGCGAGGTGTCGAGGCAGAGAGGTTGCTCGAAAGACTGCAGAACTATGAGGGCAGAGGAAGACATTTGGGCATACTCGAGGCGAATGCATTTAGGCAAAAATGGACAAACTACCAAAGAGATTTTGAAAGATACTCAACCGAAATATGGCAGTATCTTTCGGAACAAGTTCAAGACAAATATGAAGCTGTAATGTCCTGATTTTTGAAAATCAAAGCTTTTTTGATTTTATTCATCATAAGTATGTAAGTAGAAGATGTTAACGATTTAGCTGTAGACTGTTTCGTAAACTACTTGTCAAGCTATCTGCTATTTGTAACCATAGAGCTACCGAGTTACTTGGAATATAGAACTTGGGGAGATGGCATTTTGGTATGCGATTAGGCTCGACGTATGGTCGATAGACGGGGTCAACTGTGGCGCCACCAATTAATCAAAGACTGGTTTGGTTCGAGTAAATGATGTATATTCTTTTCGGGGTCCTACCGTAAGAATAAAAATGATCATGTCATTTTCCTCAATCCTTGACATGAATATCTGTGTTCTAGTCGACTTTGTTTCTCGTTCTGGATTTACTTGGTTAGCTAAACATAATCGCCGACGTCTAAAACAGGGAGTAATTAATAGTCATTGAATAATTGCTATCTTTTAACATGGGGTAATCTCATTGTCGGTGTGACAAGCCGCAAATAAACAGACATTCGACCAATCGATTGATTCCAACAGTGTATAAGCCTTCCGCATGCTTAATGCTTATTCTGTCGCACTATATGTATGCACCACGATCAATAGACAGCTGCATACAAGTGTCATCGAGATATGTTATCTACATGCCAAAGCTATGGCGAATAAACATTTCTCGTATCTATATCTTGTTAACAGTACAATGGTTTGAACGATTGGGTTGACACTTTTTATTAGTGACGTATAAACAAACGTTTTGATTAAAACTTGGAAAACAAACCCTGGGTCATTTACATTATTAATTAACTTTATCCGACAATAGTATGAAGATTTAAAAAAGCTAGTAAATGAGCTTTAAAAATCTTACAATCTCTTAATTTTCGTTCAATCGAAATTGTTTGAGGGACTAACTTTTCCTGGAAATTTTAAAGTTCGCCTCTTAAATTGTAATAACAATTATACATATAACATTGAAGTCTTTGAATTGGGTAATATATGTATACAGGTAGAATTTCTACGATAGGTAGACAGCAATTATGCACCTACCTGTGAGTTAACATCATTATTGTCTGGATATAGAAGTGAAAAGCCACTCTTCAACGCTGCAGGCGTTTACTGGTCAACAGTATTACACTGCAGAGCTTTGTTCTTACAATAACGGTTAGCTGGTTAGTTTTGCGCAAACAAACGCTAGCATTCGATTTTCTATTAATATCATTGTCAGCAACAATTATATAATAATGTTATAAGAGACATTGTGCTTGTGCTTGCAGTTACCTTGTAACTAGCGCAAAAACCATTCTGGTGAGTGGACGGCTATACATTCGACACGTTGCCGAAGCAAGGACCTGTACTAATAGTTTGACTTGTATGCCTTAGTAAATATGTATGACGCTGACAATGATATCATAATTCGCGCCACGGAAGAATTATTGAAGACAAAGCATCCGGATAGACAAGCGCTTGTGAACTCCACGAATACTGCGCTAGAGATTTTTCACAAATGTGAAATTATGGACCCTGACGATGATGTGCTTAAACAATTTATTCAATCCATTAAAGAAGAGAAAATTAAATTTCGCGACTCGACCAACAAGTCTTTAAGACATAGCATACAATTGTCCGACCATGCCGACAATATGGCAGGCTATTTTCAAGCTATGCAATCAGAAGGGCTTTCATCTGAACATTACTTAGAGGCATTCGGAAACTCGTTTACAGACGCTCAGAATTTACAAAATGGGGCCGAACAGCTTGAGTCAGAATATAGTGCCATCATCGAACAAACGGAAAAAATTAAAGATTCCTGTGAAGAGCACCTGGAAAATCTTGAACAATGCGAAAAACTAGTCATCGAGGAAGAAATTTTACTGACTGAGAATAAACCGTCTTCATTCACAACAAGGTTTACTGATGTCATTGACGGAATTGAAGATGCGTCAATTGCCGTGCTACGTCGAAGCAAATTAGCAAACAAATGGATGATTGTATTGGATGTTGCTTTGCCTATAATCAAAGTAATTATCATTAACCTAGTTGATGCTCTTATTAAGGGGAAGAAGCAAGAATTCAAGAAACAGTTGGCGGAACTTCAAGCAATAAAGGAGCGCTCCAGTAAAAACATTAAAATTACAAGGACGCTTATCACAAATCTCAGGTAACACGTGACAAGAAAGAGAGAGAGATGGAGATAAATTTATTATTTTTTTTCCTAACAAGAATATTTATATGATTAATAGTAACATAAAATATCAAACGAGCGCGTTCAAAACGTTTTGGTCAGCGCAAGTTACGACTTTAAGCGAAATTATTATTAGACTTAAACGTCTCCCACAGCAATCACAAACTACACAGTTGCATCCACAAACAATTGTTGCAATAGTTAAAAAGTACGATACATTAAAGCAGGATTGTACCACTTACAGTAGAGAGATTAGGGCAATCTTAGATCGGGATGCTCAAAATACAAATTGAAATGTACACACAGGTGATATTATGCACACGATATTGTATTATCAATTTTTTTTTCTTTTCTTTTTTTTTTAAAGCGGAGTATAAATATAAATAAAGAACGATTAAAAAATAAGTTTAAAATTACTGTATTATATGTATTGATTGTATGTATAGGCGGTGAGTGCATAATTTAACGTAGCAACGGGCCACATGCCGAGTTGAAAAGATCTTTTTCTCTTGCCTTCGGACGCAATGTGTAGAAAATTTTTCAATTTATCTCCCTTTTTGCACAGGTCGTGTTCCTTTGGTGGGGGAATATAAAACCATACTTTACTAGATTTGAATTACGTCATTAAATGAGGACACGTGTTCGTTTCAGTTGTAGTGCGATTTAAAATTACCTTTTATATTTATGTATAAAGAAATTGAAAGAACAGAACTGTCTACGTTTGAGGTATATTTGAACGTAGCTGTCCCTTTTATTATTAGGCAGATGATTGAGAAATTTTCGTGTGAACGGCGATATTCGGACTGGTTATCTTTACCCGTCTTTATTAACACTGTTATGAATGATCAAAAACCACTCCAATTCGAAAGTGTAACTACAAAACATGTTGGATCAATCAGTTGCTAGTATTCAATCAGTCTACACTGACCGTCAGGGTAGCAAGCTAATTAATAAACGAGAAATTGCAAGACACACGAGTTCTGACGACTATATCTCCATATTCTTTAAAATGTATCTCGCGCGCGGACTTGAAACATTGAGCGAGGATGCCGCTTAATCAATGGCAAAAATGTACAATGATGACAAAATGTCGAAAACGATAAAGCAACAAGTTCTTTACGATACTTGTGACAATCCTTTCCCCATTCTCTTGCTCAGTCTGTGATTAAAAGTATCACTAAGTCTCGGGACATAATATGCAAATTCTCCTTGCGTATCTTCGTAATCATCAAAAGTCCAGAACTGCATATGACTAGGATAACAAGTTATAAACCCTGGTATGCATTCTCCTTGCTTAAAGACTGCGTTACCACACATTGTATAACATTCATTCTTTCCTGCAAACATCGATTTTTTCAAATGGATTTTGTTCGTCATTGCTTTATAATCGGCAGTTTCCAACGAATTATTCGCGGGTCCGGGCGTCCGTTTAGATGGCCATTTCAATAAAAAGTTAAAACTTCCCATTGCCTCATCACCTCCCATATCGCTGATAATGCTATGTGTTACAGAAGAGTAAGTAAAGTGATTGAATTGAGCGCCGATCATTGTTGCGTGTGAGTAATTTACACTTACGAATAAACCATTTGAAAGTTTTCGGTATCCAGTTTGTCGTGAAGTTCATACGAACCGTCTTCCTTAACCCAATAGCCTATATTGTCGTCATAATAAGTTAGCAGATTTCGATATCCCAAAGCTCAACCACTCCCACCACCAATTTATTTATTCCCGCGTACCAAAAGCACAGAGTTTCACACCGTCATCTACGTGAAGATGTGTTCCGACTATCAGAGGGTCGTTAGATTTGTTAATTACGCTCATTAGATTATTTTGCCCTGCCTCATCCGACGTGTAACATGTAGCCAAAATAGCAGTTTGCTTGAAACTCCTTTGAGGTATTTTCGCGATAAACTTGTTTCCAACTTTTTGTATCGGCAGGCTGAAAGATCTCACACTAAAATTTTCGTTTGGCTTCTCCAGAATAAACGAAGGAGGATATCCAGTGACAATGACAGCCAAACTCAAACTAAAGGTTTTGGTTGTCTTTGGAGGAATATGTTTTCGACCTGTATAATGGATACATACTTCCGGAATTCCTTTAAAGCTGCGTGCGGTACTTATGCAGAATGCATCCTTTGCATTGTCCTTGCGCAAAAGAGTCACGTAAACTTGAAGGTGATCCATGTCTGCATGCAAGTGTTCTGGGATGTCAATAGGTCGTTTATAAATGTCTTTATGTTGCGGGTCAAAGACTGCTTCTACTTTCTGAATGTCGTGATAGAGAATGCTTCCCCAAAATGCTTGGAGAATATGATTTCGGGTTTCCTCATCAAAAATTTCGAATATTATGACTACGTCTTCGTACCTAAGAATTTTCCACGATGACATGAAATTGAGAGATTCCGCCCATTTTGCTGTACGTGAATAGACAAGTATAAAAATTCGTTGGATTCGTTAGCTGAAGGACAAACAGATGCGCGGACAGAAGAAGGCATGTTCATTACCCATGTCTCCAGTTTCCATGTACAAAACTTCATTGCCACCAATGACAGTAGTGTAAATATCTCTTTCTTTTATATTGCTATCTTTGACATTTGTCCCCAGTGTCATTCTGTCCAGCTCACTTTTCGTAATTCTTCCTCCGAGCTGCACCTTTCTAGGCCAGAATGGTCCATATCTATCACATAATTCCATTAATTTCGCACGGACAGCAATAGTATCATCAAGACTCAACGCTTGCTCAACTTCGTGTTCAAAGCTCGCTGAAGGTCTTACATATTCTTTGTTCATAAATAAGGTCGCTTTGACAAACTCGGTAACAGTATGTGTCGGCTCGCCTAGTCTATTCCCACTGCGATCGTTGCCGCTCCAAGATTCGGCCTTTAACGAGAGCCCATCTGGCCGCCTGTTAAGATTTGCAAATAGTTAATAAAACTGATATTATCTGTGCTACACGAGATGCAATAATCGTTCTCTTAACATATGAAGTTACCATGGTATTCTCAGCTCTGGACTCCCCGTAAAACCAATCTTATGCAACTGTTCAATGTCGTAATCGGTTTTACAACTGACTTTATAATCAGTTGAAGAACATTGTTTCGATAACTTATATTGCTGGTCAATAAACTCGAAAGCTTCTTGTGACCATTGTGATTGCTGTAAACCTCCATCGTAGATAATGGAACCGTGGCTCAGGTTAAGTCTTTGAATTAAGGCATGTAACTGAGCGCTATCGTCTTCATAATTTAATCCAATGATAAGGGTATAAGCATTATCTTCGGCTAGAGTAAGAACATGTCTGAGTTCTGTTTTCTCTTCTACCTCGCGCGGTATAGCATAATGTCCATAAGTATAAAAATTCATCTCATCTGTCATCATGGGCCTACCGCGACGTTCTGTTGTCTCGAGTTCATTACGAACCTCACTGAGCTTTTTGTCTGGACTGAATAGCATTGGTATTTGCAGCAGTGCCGTATTGTAATATTCAATCAGAACCATGGCGCTTTCAATTGTTCCATAATCCTCATCTTCTGAATCATTTTGGCTGTCTAAAGTCAACTTGGAAGAAATCACGCTCGTCATTTCGATCGATGTGGTCTTCTTGACCGGTCAAAAAGTGTTTCGAGTACATAGTCTCGGGCTGTGTATTTATCGACATAATTTTCAACTGACTAATAAGGGTAATACTAATAATCTGTCACACAAAATAACTGTGACACGTATTCGTATTTAAGTAAAAGAAGAATTCTAATTCGGGAAATCGACGTGTAAAAGTACATATTAAACACAACCGTCCATTTTTCGGCGATAGTAATAGTTATTATTATTTATTCAATCATAGGCATAATCTCCCAAACCGATAATGACTTGTTATTGATTTTTCGAAATCGATGGAAACTAGCATGTGTAAAAGTGTTTATTATTACGTCTCTAAGCCATACCACGAGTGAGATATATCGGCGTCTAATATGCCAACCCAGAAAAGTTAAAAAGAAATTTATCAGTGTAGGGGGGAAAGGCTTAAAACATGTCCTTTCTGTTCAAAAATTATGGATACGAACCAAGATAAAACCAAACCAGCAACTTGAGAGAAGTGGGGTTAGTGAATGAAACGAAAAAATATACTATCGTCTGCATGTAGAAATATGACGATTATCATTGTGATTTAAAACTGGATAACGTAGTCATCGATCCAGAGGGTAATATGATGCACGATGCTTAAAAATTCTAATAATAGTAAGTGAACTAATTATATAACTTGATAAAAGGCTGTAGGCTATATGTCAGATTTTTTTTAATAAGCAAATTAATCTTCCAGTACTAATTAAAACTATTTACAATTTCTTGTTAACAATTTAGAGCTCCTCAATTATACTATGCCGAGACGTGGCTTTTTGCATAAAGGTTAAAGTATAATTTGTTATCGTGAATAACATTAATCACGCCAAGTGTTTAACTTATATCGATACTGACAGTACATAAATTTACAAAGAGTTGTCAGATTGTTTCCTACCTGGAGACTTCCGAAATTGACGGATGGTATGCTGTTTTGTCTTTGCTCTTATTCTAACCGGTGGTTCGAACTAGTTGCCCTTGATAGTAAATGTTCCAACCAGTTGAGGTTATCCAAGAGTCGTCCAGGTCGTGCTATTAGGCTTATGAACTAAATTTCAAAGGGGAAATTCACATCATTTGTAAAAAGAATGAACCGAAAGATAAGGAAAACTTATCAATCATCGCCGTAGAACTTGAAGATCTGTATTAGTATTGATATACAAAGAAGTTGCAGTGAGACATGACTACGCGAGTGCTTGATTTGTGATTTCCTCAGGCGAAGATGAAAAAGATGGAGTGAAAGATGGAAAAGAAAACAGTAACAGTGGTGACGACTGCGTTAACGATATTGAAGTGGCAAAAGTACGTTAGTGTAGGTTCTAGCTAGTGAGAAAAATGGTACACCGAAAGTATATCGAATGATGAAGAAAGAAGACGGTCTGTTTTAGCAGGGAAAACGAAAACACTGCAATCCCCGAAACGAATATAGTGCAAGGTAGTTATACGACTCCTCCAAAAGTATGGCCGTGGAGAATAATACCAGCGATATTTTTCTCAACTGGAGAGGTATCAACTATCTCTTCCAATATATCCTGCACAGAATTCCGGCTACATATATCATTAAAACAATGAATTAAACTAATCATTAATTATCACATTTATCAGCAGCATTGCAATTGTCATGTTATCGGAATAGATTACTGTATTTTCATGTAACTGAATGTTGACCTTTCTTTGAAGCTTTGGGAGTATATTCTGTACAGATTATTGTACTAAAGAATTATTACAAAACCGACATAGTTCCGTTGAGCGTGAAATCCAAGATATGTCATATACACAGTCGCTATCGAGACTGACTGTGTGATACAATATACATTATCCCATGGGTCACAATAACACAAATACATGCTAATTAGAATTTTTTATTATTCAAGCCCTCTCGACGATGCCAGGCAGGCATAATTAAACTTTCATTAAGATTTCACTTAACATTGGTCAGTTGATTAAGAATTTGATTATAATTAGGTAAAAGAATTAATTGTTCGATTCTGTGGCAATAGCTACAAACCTTGTCAATGACTTTAGTCGCCTCACCATTACAAATATCAAGTTCTCGTAAAATTATTACATAAAGAGTGATAGCTCGTACCCGCGGCATCCCCTTTTTTTATTTTCCCCCACTTTCTCCTGACGCGTCAACCGTCTCAGTAATGTCTACTTTCGTATTATTCTCATCATTTTCACCTTCGATTGCTGATTGCCAATTCTCACTTGTGTCTGAAGAGTCTGCTCCCTCTCTCTGTTGCCACGCCCATTGACCGAGACGAGCTAGCAAGCTGCTACGCTTTTCTGGATCTGGTTGATCGACGCGTATTACGGCTATATGTTCACCGGTACTATCGCTTATAACAATATTTTCATTTTCATCAAATATAGTATATTCTTGTCGCTGGTTAATGTTGTCGCCAAAATGTATCGCACTACCTTCAACATGACTATTTTCTTTCTCATTTGTATCATCGACAAACGCAGATTGAGCAATAATGTTGAGTTGTTGGTTTTTAGTTTGTTTTAATATTTTCTCTTGTATTAGAGATAAGCGGGAGAGATTGGCAGCAGATAAGCGAGAGAGATTGGCGGCAGACATGTTTATACGCCTTCCCATTTTCACTGAAAAGAATGCGATTAGAATGTTGAAAACCTAACGTATCGACAATGAACAGACTGTGTGACATAAACTCACCAACGGGTAAAGTTATACCATGGATGATTACACTGGACATTACAACAAATTGCACGACTGCAATAAATAAACGTTTTTCGTAAGTAACATGAAGCCGGGGAAACGTAATTACGCAAAAAAAAAAAAAAGAAGTTTAATAGACACCTGGAACGACTAAGTCCCGTGCGCGTTCATTTCGTTCATAGAGATGATTATTGTCGAAAAAGATGGTAATAATAGAGCTGTAGAATATAGCACCTAAAGAAAGAAAAAAATACATATTCGATTAATATGCTCACATTTCATAAGAATGTGCAAGTCAGATGAGCTTACCAACACCAATGGGCCCGAAGAAACCAGCAAACGCAGCTATTACAAATGCAAATTATTGAATGCACGACAAGCATTAGTTTTCATTATAGTAATTCCCCAATCAGCCAATTACTCCCAAAAACGCTTTGTCGCATATGTACCTTCACGATATGTCCTGAAGACCGGTATCCATTTTCCTAACGCAAGTATAATCGGTATTCGACGGAAAACGAGTATAAGTAATGCAAGGATGACCAATCTCCACCACGCCACTGGTAGATCAGTTGCCGCGAACGATGGAAGCGGTAGGGTTGCTCCGATATACACAAACAGTGCAAGATTAAGTAACATATCAATAACTTCTTGAAAATGTGCTTCATCTGTTCCTTTGCGAAACCAGTCACTATCACATATGACATATTGAATGTTAGTCAAAATAATTATATCAGATAGCCACCGAGGAAAAACCTACTTACTCCCAAGAAATCACATTCCCAGCAACAAAGCAAGCAAAAAAATCATTAACGCCAAGCACCGTCGTGAGGCCCATGATAAATATCTAAACATTCATAAAATGATGGGCGCATAAGCTTGAGCATTTTGTCTTCTTTTGAAAAGGTTGAATTATCTACTTACCGCCAGTGCAATAGCAAATACGAGCATGGATTCTTTATCAATCAGATGCTTTGTCGTGGCAAATCTCAATGCTTTACGTGAAAGATAACCGACGACGCACCCAATGATTATGGATACGGCCATTTCATATAACCATCCCAAATAAATCCATTTTTCTATAGCTTCTCCTTTGTTAAACTCGATCAGTAGTAAACTTAACTTTACAAACAGGAGCGCCATACCTTTGATAATTGAGAAAAAAAATTTTCGTTATTCATGATATCATAATGTGAGACCTTGTTAACACGATTATCATTACTGGGTTTTACATACCATCATTTGCACCACTGTGATCGCACAATGAGAATATACAATTAGCAAAAAATCTTCAATTTGCAAGAAAATAGTATAAACGGGGGCTCACACCTTTCAGCGGATAGGATATTCTTGATATGAGGTGGCACATGTTTGTCTGCAAAACGTCCTTTCAACACTGAATTAGACAAAACCTTTAAGAAAAGACAAAGAAAAGCATTTATTAATCACATCCAAAAACCTCGTTCCTTTACGTTTTATTACTTACAGGGTCCGTAGAAGCAAAGCAAGCAGCAATGCACAGGGCTTCAGCAAATTGAATGTCTGTTAGTATCCAGTATGTAAATGCAGCACTACTAAGCCACATCCATAATATCACTGGGCCCAATAATGGTAACAGTGATTTATAATGTCGGAGAGTGTACGCCCTACAAGATATGACAGATATTCGGTGGGGAAAACAGTCATGACATTAAAAGTCATTTTACAAAAAAAAAAAAGCCTTACTTTGGTAGGGATAAAGCTGCAACCATCATCTAAACAAAGACATTGTTTTTTGGTTAGATAATTTGCGCCATTGGATAGTTTTGCAAGTAACAACGTACGCCAGATTTTCGTACCTGGATAGAAACGGCAATTCGTGTCAGATCTCTCGTTAGCAACGGTAAATATCCCCAACCAGAGGTAGTTATGATTTGGGCAACATATTCGCCAGAGAGAATGCCTATTGTGAGTGCCACGACTTTTAAAATGCAATAATATAATGTTAATCATCTTCGTGGCGTCAGCCCATTTCATATCAGGAGTCGGGGGAGAAGGAGCAAGCAGCTATTTGATCGACCATCATTTAGATTGTGCATTAGTTCATTTGGGTTATAAATAATCTGCCTTGCATATCGACTACGCTCATCCAATCGATCCTCATTTCTAATCGTCCGTATCAATTGTCGTACGAATATGTAGACTCCTTTGTCATGGTCATTCCCTCACCCATCCCCCCTTGAAGTAAAAAGAAAATGGATCAAACAAAGAAACTTACCAGCTTCGGAAAGATATAGTTTCTCTTTGATGAACAACGAAACCAATCCAAAGAAAACGATGAACCCTCCAAGAAGAGCAGTCATCCGAGCAAACTCTGTCGCATCTACGTCCATTTTTTATTCAGTGGTTGTATATATTTGCAGAAGCGTCCCCCTTGGAAAGTAAAATTTAAAGATTGTTGAGAGGAATGAGGAAAAGCCACTGATTCTTGGTAACGAAAGTTGGCGCAAATCCAGATTCTTAATATATGCAACTTGTGATCATGTAAATAGGGAATGATGGGAGCGAACACGCAAGGGAATCGAATCAGCAATCAGAAATCCGAAGGTAAAAAATTGCGGGACGACTTTATATATACTTTTTGCAGTCCGCGGTTTTGACAGTTTTGTTTGCCATTTTTGGCTTTAAACTTCACATGTGCATCTAACCTTCTCTAACTAATTATGGTCGCAAATACCCACAATGGACTTTGGTTTTTTTTTCCCATTATTTGAATAATGTTCTCATCGAGAGCATGTCCTTTTCCGTAGAACGTCTTTGGGTAAAATGTAGGAGACAGAAAGGTTGCGAAATGATAAAACGGTTTTAGCGGTAAAAAGACGTAATAGTAATAGGAAGAGGTGAAAGCTTGAACAGTGTTCGACACGATCTTTCCGTAAAAGGAAGTTTCGCACGCATTTTGTCAATGTGTCCTTTGTCGATGGTAATGGGGGGCTATATTTCCGTGTGATCAATATAAAATGAAACCTGTTATTTAAAAACAAAAGCGGTCTTCTTATTATCAATAATATCGTTTCCCAGTTTCGGGAATTATCATAAGAAATATAAAGAAGAAAACATATAAAAAACTGGTAATATGGCCGTTTTTACACTCTGACATGGCCAATAGTAAAAATTGGATTGACAACGTGCATAGATATTTCATGCTGACGCATTTTACCAAAAACATCCGCTCATGTGTTACAATGTCGATGGATTGTTCGCATGATTAGCCGTTATTAGTAGTGACTTTGTCAAAAGATACATGTGTAGATATGTGATCCGACCAACGGTAAAATGAAGTTGATGAGTTGCAGATGTTGTGTTTGAGTTCAGGACCCGTCTCAGTTCTGACAACGGAGTGACTGGGTTCAGAGCTGAGAGGATCCTGAACTCGGACACAACACGTATAAAAATTTTAAAACTCTACCTAACTCGACTTTTCATCTCCCCTATTAAAGCGTGTTATATGTAAACCAACTAATTAACTACAAAGACTTGCGGGTTTTACAAAGCAGATGTAGTTATTATCTACGAGCTTGTATAAACTCGACAAATAAAATTAAATTCGAACCTCACCGATGCACTATGATTGCATTAGACAAGCAAGCATCATTCGATGGTCCTTTCGACCTGCAGTATATCATTTATTAAATTTACACAAACAATAGGAGAAAGATACAAAACATACAGTAAGAATTTATGCGATAATAAAATTAATCTTGCGTAAATCTAAACCACTCAACTTGGTATGCAATAACAAACCGTAGAGTTTGACACATTTTGTATAAGACTAAATTTGTATTTAAACTCATATAAATGGCTATTTTAATTTTGCCGTTTTATTTTAAACGCTTTCGAATAAAACCAAGATCAACTCGTTGATACCATATTTTCTTGTCAGATCCCTGTCACCTGAGCCATCGTGGGACTGCACTAGTCATTAGGGAATACATTAGTCTCGGACCAGAACTCAGTTCAGAACAGAGTCAGGTTCCCAACTGAGATACGACACTTGACCGATTACAGCCGCAATTAATCCCTATTGACGTTCCAAACTGGTAATATAATCCTGATCATAGTAAACTGTTTGTCTCGAGCATTAAAAATTAAGGTTGACCCTCGGACAGGATCTTCGTCGACATGAGACTGTAACATCGGGACGTCGGCTACAGTTGGCAAAGCGCATACGATTTCAACTGGAACAATGTATTTGCAATCAACACAAACGTACGGAGGAAGAAAAAATGTTTCGTACTGTAAAGCATTCTTTAAAATTCATGTGAGAGGTACTTTCTTGATATGTTTTAGCGGAACGTTAATCAAATTTTATGCGTAATGTCTTATGAAAAGGGTCTTCTGATTTTTGTTCGAAAGCAATTCGGATGTTGACACGTTTAGATACATGTTCAAAGTATCGGTCAAGTTAACGATTAATTAAAAATATTAAGCCTTACTTGGATAGTAAGTGTTAAACTTGCTATTGAGAACGTTCGGAAAATAACAATAATTAAGAATATATATGAATAGAAAATACTAGTAATGAAACCCAACTTGCGATAGATGTAAACCGTTAATAAACCATATTATATACTAATAATGAGAGGAATTATGTATATTGTAACAAAACTATTTTAGCGCGCACAAAGTATCGAATCAGTTTGATACCTATAGTAGAAACAAATAAAATTTTACTATTATTATTTTCTTTGTCTTAGCATATGCTATCCATATAACAATATTTTTTGTATCACTGGAGTTAGTTCATCATAATGGCGTTACGGTGAAGAAACCGTATTCTAATTTTCATATGTTTTCACGTTGTAGCTTTATCGTTATAATGATTTCCAACATAAAATAAAGTTACATTCAACAATGGTATTGTGATTTGATAGTATATTAATATGCGGCGATGGAGATTTAAATAAAGCTTTTATAATATTCGAACATCATAAACCAGATCAGTAACAGTTAATAGTGTAATTAATCACATCATCGGATTTCAAGTGTTGTCAATCGTTTAAAATTCGGTCAATATTATACGGTGGGAGAAATTTAATAACATGATCTACTGTTACCACATTACATCATAAACATATATTAAGCAGATCAGTAACAGTTAATAGTGTAATTAATCACATCATCGGATTCCAAGTGTTGTCAATCATTTAAAATTCTGTCAATATTATACGGTGGGAGAAATTTAATAACATGATCTACTGTTACTACATTCAGTTAATTTTACCTTTATTATCTCTTTACATTGAGAAAAGATGCTCCGAAACTCCATCAAATTGAGTTGTGTAACGCCGTGTAAATTCCAAGATTTTTAGAGAGTATTGCTAAAGGGGTCAAAGTCAATAAAGACTTATTTGTAAAGCGCCATAAACTTTTTATTAGAAGTTCTATTAAGACCCCAGGTACAATTCAGGAAAGTTTATCGCGTGTCACATGTTATACACACATGTTATACACACATGTTATGGTAGTACAACACGGTTCGAACATCTGTGATATGACTCATCGTTTTTGTAGCAGATCTGCAAATCGACTGTCTGGCAATTAGTCAACTAGATACTAACAGCTAAGGTTTACAATCAATCAAATTTTAGCAGCCGTCAATAGAGGAATCGATGGCATGCAAAATTAATACTTCATCCATCTACCATTAGAAAATGTGCCATTTCACTCTATAATATACACAGTAAAGTCCGATTTAACAAAAGTCTCCTTTCCGCCAAAAAAGCCCATTACAGCAAACTATTCGTTAAAGCGGACTTCTATCTCTATGACGAATTTTTATATAAAATTACGTAAACTTTGTTATATTTGTTTACGTCCCATTAATTCTTCAAACCTACCGTATACTACCGTGAATAAGCACCCAACCTTAACATAATGAGAAATGCTTATTCACGATAGAATTGCCTGCTTTTATCGGCATTATTTAAAGCAATCAGCAAATCATTAGTGAAGTACAACAATAATTGTAATAAGCAAAAGTGAAATAAAATTTTTTTTAATTTGCATACTTACGTAGTGAACTGTGGGTGGGGAGGGGGTATGTCATGCGGTTAATACAGGTAATCTTGGGGGTGCTTATTCACGGTAGTATACGGTACTTTCTTTAATCCGAAACAATATTTGTCCATAATACAGTGACTATTTTTTGGAAGAAGATTCAATGTATAATGTCATTTGCAACTTGAACGGGCGAAAAAATTAGCACATCTCTATTACATGAATTTAATATGTTGTGAAATTTATATATATACAATAATGCTTATAACGAAGTTCGTTATGTGCCAACATTTCGGTATTTCGTGTTAATTTAGAAGACCTTTGTTCGACTGAATGGTCTATTTTAGTCGCGGGTTTGATTTTCGATATACATAAATCTCCGTTCAATCGGGTGCTAAACATATATGAATGAATTGGTTCCATAAAAAGCTTCCGTCTTCGTTAAACCAGACGTTCGTTAAACAGACTTACTGTGTGCGAGGAAGAGAAAAATTAGACCGAATACGTGATGTGGTTGGGCTTGTATTGATATCTACTTTTTCTATATAGGAGATATAGGAAAACAACACAAAACGTATAGCATCTTTTGCGTCCACTGTTGTTGGCACAATTTTGAGTACCACGTATTTGATCATCAAATATATTAAGTGTTGTATGTCAGTTTGGAATTTATGCCAGATGGGAATTTATGTCCATTCCGAATGGACATACGTCAGATGGGAATTTATGTCCATGCCGAACCGACATATATGTCAATGGAATAGTAAAGACATTCAGGTAATAGCATTATAAACGTACTTCACCGACGTAACAATATAGTATGTCGGCGGTGAACACTGCATTGCTATCATTCCGTTTATTGCTTAAATCAACTCCTCTATAAGGGATTGAAAGCAAAGCTTGATGTCGCACCACCTTAAGCTTAAATCCACATGGTTAAGTCTTCAATATCTTAGCTATCGATACCGTGGTAGTTACAAAACCCCGGAATACTATACACGGAGTGGTACTTTGATCAAATAGTGGTGTTATCTAGTACTAGGGGGGGGGGGGGGGAATACTATGATAGGACTATGTAAATTGTCTTTTCATTGACACGCTATGTTGTACATATTTATTAGAGTAAATGTTGTGGAATTTGGAAATATTAATTCGGTATTTAGTATCACTGATTATGATATGTCGATCAGCAATTTTATTTCCGCAACTACCCAGAACAAGTTTAGACTGTCCGTAAAGTCATGCAGGTATGTGAAATGGATTATGTCAGCTAGGGTGCTCTTCGAATATATCCAACGTCCAATATTTATGAAAATATTAAGCCCAGCCCAGTATTTACCATACGGAGCTAGAAGTGTAGCTTTGTATAAAGCTTGCTTCGGCTCAACGCTTAATCAATTTAACCGATTGTCTTTACTATTCCAACCTGACAATATGTCCATTTCGAATGGACATAAATTCCAAACTGATATATAACATTAGTTTTTGTTGTTATGTAAGCGATGTCATAGAACTTATTAGTATTGGCTAATCAGAATACGTGTAATAGGTGCGCGATAACATGAACGAACTTAATGATGTTATGCGAGCAGCAAATTGAGAGGCGTGTATTTGCTTTTATCCCGGAAATTGCAAAAGAATCAAATGCTCTTCTCACATTCAAAATGGTTACACGTTTGATTTTGACGATAGATGGCATGTGAAATGATTACTGAAACGACAAGATTGAAACGACGATCAATGGAACAACCCGTTGTATAAAACCCTCCTTTGAGATAAATCAACTACGTTGCAACAGAAAAAAGAGCGATGCATTCAAGACTAGTTTGTACAGAATCTTTATTGGCAAATAATATCGTTTTTTTTTTGTAAAAGTATATAGTCGAAACCAGTGTATTATTTGAATTAAATTCAATTACATCTTAGGGATACTATATTTAATATAATTATCAAACGGATATAATAACGAAACATGCAACTGCTAATATGCTTAATATTGCCAAGATAGTAATAATCGACTTTTATAATAAAATGTATTTGTAATCTCAAGCTTGCTTCAAAACGTCACAATGACGTGTTCTTCAATATGTTTGCATAGTTTTTCTACATATTCTTCACACTCCTTCTGATAATGTATCCATTTTGTCTTAAAACACCATGCTTCCAGTTCACTGAGACGCTGCCCTCGCCGTTCAAAATTATCAAGGTCTTTAAGTAATGCTTCAATCTCAAAAACGCGCGTCCGCCAATAATTTTTCACCTGACCAACTCCCATCGTTGCACTTTTCAAAGCCTCATGTAATGACTTAACTGTCAATCTGCTGTTGATTTGAACTTCCAATTTATGAATTTCCTTCTTCATCCGATCGATATGCGCAGACGCATCGATAAATGTCTTGACGCCGATGCTTCCAGTAACCACACTTACACCATCCACAAGTATCGATTCAGGTCCCAAAATACTAGACGCTAGAGAAACCATACCCAACCCTAACCCGACTAACCGTTTTGTAGCTGAATTGCTTTTACCTCGTTGTAAACATTTCAGTTCTTCCTCTTTATCGTCGAGGGTTTCCAAGTAATCTCTCATATTATTCGAAGAAGCCTTCAATCTATCGCATATTTCTCCGAATCTCGTTTCAAGATCGTTGGCGACGGTTTCGTTTTTTCTCACAAAAGTCAAAAGTGTTTCCACCGCGTTTTTGTATGCTACAATATCTGTGCATGATAATCCAAGGAGTTCATCATGTGCAACCATCTTGAGACTGTCTTTGAACATAGTATTGCTCGCAAATAAAGAAGCCATGACGGTTTTGCAAAATAATTCCCTGCTCGTTTCGACTTCTTCGGCAATACACTCTATAAGGTCCTGGCGTTTTGCTAACTCTAAACAGGTCTTAAATTTGCTAGCGGCGGCTATTATATGCGCGATTATTAAATCAGCAGGTGTATAGAAGCTTTCTGACTTCACGAAATCCATCGTATATTGTGTGGGGTTGTAAAAAATTTGTTCTTCGGAGATTGCAAAAGCTAGAAAAAGAATACTTTCGGGTGCGTACTTCAGGTTTTGTGACACAACTATATTCTGAGATCAAAAGAAGAAACAACAAGTAATTTTTGGCACGAGATTCAAGTTTTTGTGACACAACTATATTCAAGAAATAATTTCTGGCACGTGATTCAAGTTTTTGTGACAACTATATTTTAACCAACGAAAGATCAAAAGCTAGGAGAAGAAACAACAAATAATTTTCGGTGCGTGATTCACGTTTTGTGACACAATTATATTCTGACCCTATTACAGTATTAATATTTTACTACAAAGCGATCGCCCAGCACGTGCCTCATCGGCGCAATCCGCTAATCCGCCCCTGAATTTTAATCACATGCCACGAAATATTAATATAAAGATTCATCACTCGAAAATAACACTCGAACATATACGCGATCTCGCGCTACGATGTTGTAATCCTTTGGAATAAAATCTCGCTTTTAACATGCAAGTAAAGTTTTTCATTGGTTTTCTTTAGATCTGGCAACATAGCACTGCTTAGGGGTTCCGCTTCCTCCCGGTTACTCGGGTGTCGAATTGAAAACCTGGAAGTCGCCTTTATGAGCGCGTTCCTAAATCAGTGTCGAAGTTTCATTTTGCTCATATGCGAACATGCTTAGGGGTTCCGCTTCCACCAATTATTTGGTGTTGAATTGAAAACCCGGAAGTTTTCTACGTTCCTAAATCATGAAGAAGCTTCACGTTCCTAATTTGTGTGAAATTTCATTACATATTCTGATCATGATATAGTATGACTAACCTACTTATTCTATTTATTTCTATTGTTACCTTTAATACTTGAGTGAAGGAAATCAAAAAGGTAAGAGTTATCATTATTAAGTGAAGTGATTTATATTATATTAATCTACGTACGCTCTGTAGTCGTAGGCAAAGATATAGAAAATTACGCAGAACAGATTTGTCCATTATTCATTCGAAAATGCAACAAAATCGAACGCTCGTAAGCAGGATTGTTTTCTATCACGCTGAAATTGTTTGTTATCTAAGTGATGCCAGATAATTCCTTTATTCTGAATTCTCTGAATTTGTACATGCAAATAGCGACGTCACACGCGCACCACTCTCAAAAATGCCAGTTCTGAAATATTAGATTATCAAAAAAAACTGACACAATTGATGCAGGATAGTCCATTACCTGAAGATGGTGAAGCTCCGGTATAAAATTGTTACCTTGAATTTCTTCTTGAGTTTAATTTTTTAACGATTTTATTATACCGACAGCATAAAGAATCAACAACGGCAGCCAAGAAGAGTGAAGAACCACGAGGGGAAGGTGCCATAGTAATAGCTAGTGGTACGTTGCAAACGAATGGCTTGTGATACAGGTTCGCCATAAGGCTGACATATTTTCGAATTGACAGATTCAGGGAATGATTTGAGAGAGGCATCGGAATCAATGGTTGGAAGGTAGAGAGAATTCCATTGATGGTAAACAACATCGACCTGGAGAGAATTTTCACAGGTTACCGTGACCAATGCGAAGACATCTTTGAGTGAGTAAAATCGGCTCTCATAGTTAATATAGAATCGAAATAGTAATCTTATTCATTTTTTTAGTCTCTGTCATAGCGATATCATGGATATGCGATCGACTTCGCGCTTCACGAATGAAATTTCAGAAGAATCTTGGAACAAATTTGTGTTGAGTACATATCCCGAATATAATCTACCTAAAGATTGGGAAATATTTATACAAGAATTCTTCAAGGTATGTCATAATCATGGAAAGGTGAAATTCTTTAGTTTGATTATCTTTGTTATTTATTTTGTCCGATGATGGTAAAATAAGCCAAAGGTTAGTCTAGAAGAATGGATAAGCGATTGGCGTGAACTCCATAACCAAAAAATCAACGGAAACAAAATTCACAAAGGCTTGGCAGATGCAATCTACCATATACTTGCACCATAGTACGTTTTCCTTATTTTATTGTCTTTTATCGGTGTAAGTGAAACGTTATAATCATCGAGTTCTTTTTAGTATTGAAGCCTTTGAAGCGCCTTACAACATATTGACGTCAGGAGACTTACGAGAAAATCAATATAATGCTCAGTTTGTTAATTCTATATTAAAGAATACACTAAAGGCCATATGTAACATTGATTGGAGAATGTAAGTTCTGATTATCCACTTTGGGAAATATTTACTTGCATTTACGAAATTACACTGTCATAGTCTTGAAGTGCCAGTAAAAAGTAGCAAAGATCGTCGTAACGCAAACATCAATCCAATCATTGATACAGTCTTAGAGGCGAAATGTGCAGATGGGCTTGCTCGTCTTTGGCTAAGTCATGAAGAAGTATTTCTATACGAACAAACAGGACCCCCGAACTTCGATGATGTGACGCAACTTTACGTTCATGATTATAAGCTGATTAGAACAATGAGAGATGTGCTGAACCAAAGAATAATCCTTCACCTTAAAGACGGAATATATGATCACAAAAATCTTGCAAGTTTCAGTGCTTTTGGTCATCGTACTGAAGTATCTTTACTTTGGCTAACAATACATCAGAAATCATATTGTCTTCGCGAATACGGAACTTTCAAGATCCCCACAGCTTGGCAAGATTTCCCTGTTTTTTCCGAAGCAATCATATCATGTCTTAAGTTCTTTGTGAGTATAATAGTGTTTCATTCACTTATTCACCGCCCTTTACTAATGCCGGTTTATGGTCAGTCCTTCATGAGAGAAAATATCGAAGTGAAAAGATCATACGTTGAACAAAAGCAAAAGTTGCTGACCAAACGACGGGTACATACAATAAAGCAGAACCAATCATCACCAGGGCGACCCAAAAAGCAGAAGTCGAAATGACTATATGTTTACTTGAATTAGGTAGAAAAAATGCTATATATAACGATTTTAACCCATCTTGCAAGTAATCTTTTAATACATAGTTTTAACCTTGAAAAAAATGTAAAATGCATATAATATTAATAAAGTAAATCTGGTTGAAAAGTGCATAATAAATTTTCTTGATTAGTGTTTCGAAACAGAATGTACACGCGATTTTTTTATGTACCTGTATATGGAATATAGTATAACACGAGCATAAATGCGATAGTAATAGGGCAGAAACGAACCTATTTATCCAATTTTAAGGGCATATCCCAACCTAATCTAATTGCGAGAGGATCGTCTACTGCCTTAGTAAAATCAAAAACCACGAATTCTCGATCCTGCAAATGCTTATCGGATTATCCGTATATTGTCGCACGATTCTATGAATGTCGTCTCGGCTTCCCGCTCCTCGAAATAGTGCAAGATGGCTTAGATTTTCGCGGATAATTTTAGGAGTTTGTGTATATTTCTGGCTCACATATATGGGTGAGACATTTTGATGCCGGCCACTAATAAAGTAAGGAATAATTCGTTCTTGCACTTTCTTTGGTTCGGCACGTAAATCCTCAAAAACAACAACTGTGCTTCGTTCTGGAGAGAATTTATTTATATCTGGAATCTTATCTGGTGTTATCCATTTAAATGTAACATCTTCTCGATATGGTTTTGGAGCATGGCAAAGATCTGATAACGTTATTTACCACAAATCGGGTTAAAAAAATAGAAAAAGGAAACTATCCCGGTGCTTACGTTTTCCCACCTGAAAAAGGTATTGAAACTAAAAGGCCAGTAACAGGTTTGAATTTTGCATCACTATATCCTAGCCTTATGATGACCTATAATCTCTCTCCCGAAAAAAATCGTGAAGAGGCTGATCTCGTACGTGGTGAGGGATGTGAGCTATATAATATTGATTTCCATTCAATGAACGTACACTTCAGGCTTGGTGTGTCCGTCATAATAATCAATCCGAAAAAAAAGGGTTATATCCAGACGTGTTAATGGATCTCCTAAATAAGCGAGTGGAGCTTAAATCAAAACTCGCTATATTGCGCGAGAAAAAAGAACGACTCGGAAAATTAAAAAGTACAATAGACAAGAAAGGTAAAAATGTCTCAGACAGTTTAAACTCAGAGTATAATTCTATATGTTTTGATTATAATTGTTTGGACTCAAAACAGAAAGCTATTAAGGTTTTTATGAATACCTTTTTATTTTATGGTAAAGCTGGGAATAGCAAATCTCCATTCTTTCTTCGAGTATTAGCTGGAGGTATTACAACAGCGGGACAGCATATCATAAAACTCGTTGCAGAATATGTAACTAAGAAAGGTTTCGGAATCATGTATGGTGATACTGACTCTTTATATCTTATTTCTCCTGACAATATGATAACGGTAAAGGCACAATTTCAAAGTTAGAGTATTGGTCCAAAATGGTTGAAATTACCACCAAAATAACGAAATAAGAATTGAAGTAATTGTTCTGATTTTTCATTTTCCGAAATCTGTGATTGAGGAAAGGCTTTCGCCCCCCGATGGTAGAAGGCCCCCGTTATTTTCATACCCCGTCTTTGGCTCGAGATTTTCCAAAATTTCAGGAATTGGGATCGGTGGAGATGCGGGAACAATAATTTCAGTGTTTTCGGAAGCAGGTGTATTGTATTCACTTTGGGTACTCATGTTTTTTCTGAAAGTATATTATTCGGAAGTAAAAAGTTCAAAATTAATTCTAAAAAATATTGATCGGTACATATTATATACTCAATCGAGATAAACATCAAAAAGAATGGCATTTTATCGTTGTCCCTATACCCTTAGAACTGGTGAAGTCTGTAATCGGCCATGTTATCATCCCAATGGGTGCAAAGTTCACCGGGATTCACGTATTCGTTATCCTTGCAAAGAAAATGGATGTGTTAAGTCAACTTATTCTGTTTATGGTTATTGCGGACGACCATGCACAGAAACATCGTAGAAGAAAGTATAGGCATCAGAAAAAGCTGGAGAAGATGGCAGAAAAAAATATGTAGTATGAGGGTATATGTTGGGGGGGGGGGGTCACGTCCAGGTCGACTAGGTAAATTTTTCTTGGACGAATTTCCTGGACGAAAAAAAAAATAGCTAGATGACGTTTTTGGGCTGAAAGAAAAGTTTTTAGACTAGCCGTCCAAGTTGTCCGGGTTGTCTAGGTAAAATTTCGATTTCTTTACTTTTTTTCTTTTTTTATACTACACATATGAATCATATACAGCGTGTAACAAAAAAAACCGGATATTTTTTTATGTGACGTAAACGCGTCTTGCGCGTTTGTTTTCTGTCCGATTTGGAAAATGTAAAATGGAAAATAAATATAATAACCAGAAGTATATTTAAGCATTGTTTATAATCCTGACACTTAGTGTGTTTTTGCTTTATGTCCAAACACA